CAGTCACAAATAGGTTGACATTATTTATACGATTATTACAATAATGCAGTAGTCTCCATAACAGTAAATCTTCTATTTTTTGTGTGAATAAAAATTCAAAATGGAAAGCAAGTGTAATATAAGAGAGGCCTGGAGATGTGACTAATGAACAGAGAAAATGTTATTTTAGTGCCAGGAATGTCTGGATTGCTTATTCTGGACCCTATTTTGAAATTGGCATGTCTTGAAATTTGTGTGAAATTGGCCAAATTACCGATTTCTGACCACTTTATTGGGTAGTTGAAATAGGTAAATGGGCAGTTCCTTGTACTCATTCAACAGAATAGAAGGAATACTAACAAAATAGCTATGAGTTTGATACACTGGAACAAGGGAATGGGCCAAAAATAGGGTGTAAAGTGGGTGAAATCTCCAGTGCATAAATATCTCCATTGGGTTAAGTGTACTCTAACTTAACCACTCTGTAATCCAGCACCCTACAGGTCCCGATGATGCCGGATTAGTGATGGTCAACCTGTATTACGTAACTCCTCTTCCATCTATGATATAATGATATAATGGTAGAAAGTTGAAAGTGAACATAGAAAAGAGTAAGGTGATGAGGGTATCAAATGATTTAGATAAAGAAAAACTGGATATCAAATTGGGGAGGAGGAGTATGGAAGAAGTGAATGTTTTCAGATACTTGGGAGTTGACGTGTCGGCAGATGGATTTATGAAGGATGAGGTTAATCATAGAATTGATGAAGGAAAAAAGGTGAGTGGTGTGTTGAGGTATATGTGGAGTCAAAAAAAGTTATCTATGGAGGCAAAGAAGGGAATGTATGAAAGTATAGTAGTACCAACACTCTTATATGGGTGTGAAGCTTGGGTTGTGAATGCAGCAGCGAGGAGGCGGTTGGAGGCAGTGGAGATGTCCTGTCTAAGGGCAATGTGTGGTGTAAATATTATGCAGAAAATTCGGAGTGTGGAAATTAGGAGAAGGTGTGGAGTTAATAAAAGTATTAGTCAGAGGGCTGAAGAGGGGTTGTTGAGGTGGTTTGGTCATTTAGAGAGAATGGATCAAAGTAGAATGACATGGAGAGCATTTAAATCTGTAGGAGAAGGAAGGCGGGGTAGGGGTCGTCCTCGAAAAGGTTGGAAGGAAGGGGTAAGGGAGGTTTTGTGGGCGAGGAGCTTGGACTTCCAGCAGGCGTGCATGAGCGTTTTCGATAGGAGTGAATGGAGACGAATGGTATTTGGGACTTGACGATCTGTTGGAGTGTGAGCAGGGTAATATTTAGTGAAGGGATTCAGGGAAACCGGTTATTTTGATATAGCCGGACTTGAGTCCTGGAAATGGGAAGTACAATGCCTGCACTCTAAAGGAGGGATTTTGGGATATTAGCAGTTTGGAGGGATATGTTGTGTATCTTTATACGTATATGCTTCTAAACTGTTGTGTTCTGAGCACCTCTGCAAAAACAGTGTTTATGTGTGAGTGAGGTGAAAGTGTTGAATGATGAAAGTATTTTCTTTTTGGGGATTTTCTTTCTTTTTGGGTCACCCTGCCTCGGTGGGAGACGGCCGACTTGTTGGAAAAAAAAAAAAAATTCAGACTATCTACCCTTTTGTCCTCAACTTATTTCCTTACCTCTTATAGCAGCATTCCTTGTAATGTGCATTTGTTGCTAATGTGATATAAATGAGGCTTCACAATTTTGGTCTGTCTGCTCATTCATCTGTTAACATTAGAGGTTTTGAATACTTACTGTATTTTTATAACCATTCACTCAGTTCTTATTAATATGGGACTTAAGATTTGTTTCATTATTTCCCAGATATGATCAGTATACAGTTTTGGTTTAATGTCTTTCATACATTTTCTGTCATCTGGTTTGTTAATAAGTTCCCATCATTATTTTCTTAAAAAATACTCATTAATTTTTATCTTTTCTTGCATATTTTGTTTTTCAAAGAATTTCCTCTTTGCACTTGAATCTAAAGACTTTTGCATGAACATACAGTAAACTGAAACTACAGTGCTTCTTATAATTTGGTAGAGTAACCTACTTGTTGCTACAGTTTTAAATAATATTTTGTCAGGCAGTATGTTCCTTGACACAGTGTCATGATAATGAATAAGTGGAACTTGACAAAACACTACAGTACACACATTCTCCAACACCAAACAGTCTGTTTTATGGAGGTGAAAGGGTTAAGGAAATTTAGATATATTTATGAATCTCTAGCAAGGACTATCCTGAGTATTTAATTGGATTTATTCATTTTTTTCTTTTTACCAGATTCATTTCTGTTTGGTATATGGTATTATAGTATATGTATATATGTGTGTATACAGTGGTCCCTCAATAATCGTCCATAATCCGTTCCTGGAAGTGGGACTATTATCGAAATGGACGATTTATGAATCAATTTTCCCCATAAGAAATAATGTAAATTCAATTAATCCGTTCCTGACACCCAGAAGTATTAAAACAAAAAATTTTTTTTACATGAAATATAGATGTAGTACATAAACAATACAGTGGCACATGATGAATTAAACATTAACAGAATAACACTTACCTTTATTGGCGATTCTTCTTTGTGTATGGAAGACTGGAGAAGGAGACAGATTGGATGATTTACTGTTTGGAAGGGGAATTCCCTTCCATCAACACCTCGGGTACCAATTGCTTTTCTGGAGTTACTTCTCTTCTCTGTTTCTTAATTAATGTAGGTCCTCTTTGGCATTTTCTTCCAAAAGAGGCCTGTTTCATCACAATTGAACACTTGTTCATGTTTCAGTCCTTCACTGTTTATGTACTCCTTGAATTCATGCACATATTTTTCAACCGCCTTGTGGTCCGAACTGGCAGCCTCACCATGCCTTACCACACTGTGTATGCCAGTATGCTTCTTAAATCTCTCAAACCAGCCTTTGCTGGCCTTAAATTCACTCACATCACCACTAGTTGCAGGCACTTTCTTTACCAAATCATCATGTAACTGCCTAGCCTTTTCACAAATAAGCGACGTCATAAGACTATCTCCTGCTAATTGTTTCTCATTTATCCACACCAATAATAACTTCTCAACATCTTCGAGTACTGGTGATCTCATTTTTGTCAGCATATTTACCCCCTTTGCAACAACAGCATCCTTGATTTCCTTTTTCTTGGCTATGATGGAAGATATGGTTGTACGGGATTTGTTATACATCCTCGCCAGTTCGCCCACACGTACGCCACTATCATATTGTTCAATGATGTTTTTCTTAAATTCAATCATATTTCTCACCTTCTTTACCAAAGGCTTGGCACTAGGAGCTTTCTTTGGAGCCATGGTAGCTTATTTAGCACTTAAATAACTTGCAAGCACTAAAATAAATGGAATACTGTATTATGAAATATTTCGCTGGAGCACATGAGGGGACCGTCGCTCACTGGTAAACAATGGCACACTGGCTGTAAAGGAAAGGCCGAGGCGGCTCAGAGCGTGAGTACGCGTCCGGGATGAAGGACTATTAGCGAGGTACCGGACCATTTGCGAGCCAATATTTTGACGAAAAAACAGGACTATTTCCGAAATGGACGACTTTCAGGCTGGACGATTATTGAGGGACCACTGTGTATATGTATTTTTTTTTTTTTTTTTTAACAAGTCGGCCATCTCCCACCGAGGCAGGATGACCCAAAAAAAAAAAAAATCCCCAAAAAGAAAATACTTTCATCATTGTTCAACACTTTCACCTCACTCACACATAATCACTGTTTTTGCAGAGGTGCTCAGAACACAACAGTATATGTATATATGTATATATATGTGTGAGTGAGGTGAAAGTTTGAATGATGATGAAAGTATTTTCTTTTTGGGGATTTTCTTTCTGTTTTGGGTCACCCTGCCTCAGTGGGTGAAGGCCGACTTGTTGAAAAAAAAAATTCCACGTTACTATTTGGTGTATAGTGAATATATTACTGTTGTTCAGTATTAAGAGGTAGATTGTCGAGGGTGAGTTCATTTCTTACCTTAAAAAAAAGAGGAGGAGGGAGTTTGCAAGAGGAAAAAGTGTGAGTGAGGAGGAGGAGGAATTTGTTTTACATAAATATAAATATAATTTAGGTGAATCATAGAATTGATAAGGGGAAAGGGTGAGTGGTGCACTTAGGAGTCTGTGGAGACAAAGAACTTTGTCCTTGGAGGCAAAGAGGGGAATGTATGAGAGTATAGTTTTACCAACGCTCTTATATGGGTGTGAAGCATGGGTGATGAATGTTGCAGCGAGGAGAAGGCTGGAGGCAGTGGAGATGTCATGTCTGAGAGCAATGTGTGGTGTGAATATAATGCAGAGAATTCGTAGTTTGGAAGTTAGGAGGAGGTGCGGGATTACCAAAACTGTTGTCCAGAGGGCTGAGGAAGGGTTGTTGAGGTGGTTCGGACATGTGGAGAGAATGGAGCGAAACAGAATAACTTCAAGAGTGTATCAGTCTGTAGTGGAAGGAAGGCGGGGTAGGGGTCGGCCTAGGAAAGGTTGGAGGGGGGGGGGGTAAAGGAGGTTTTGTGTGCGAGGGGCTTGGACTTCCAGCAGGCATGCGTGAGCGTGTTTGATAGGAGTGAATGGAGACAAATGGTTTTTAATACTTGACGTGCTGTTGGAGTGTGAGCAAAGTAACATTTATGAAGGGATTCAGGGAAACCGGCAGGCCGGACTTGAGTCCTGGAGATGGGAAGTACAGTGCCTGCACTCTGAAGGAGGGGTGTTAATGTTGCAGTTTAAAAACTGTAGTGTAAAGCACCCTTCTGGCAAGACAGTGATGGAGTGAATGATGGTGAAAGTTTTTCTTTTTCGGGCCACCCTGCCTTGGTGGGAATCGGCCAGTGTGATAATAAAAAAAAAATATATAATTTTGTAGAAAAAAATGGTTTCATTAGATAAGCTGAGAGAGGAGACCCGAGATACCTACTTAGATCGCCGAAATGTGATTGAAATGCACATTATATATTTTTCTTTATTACAGTGAGGGAAAGAGCTACACCACACTGGGTCAGCAGCTTGGTGCCAGCCTGCGAGAACTTCACCGTTGTCTGGCATTGGCCCTTCTTTCTGAAAAGTTTCCTGGTGCCCTTGTTAGAACTCTAAAAACAATAGAGTTGCTTGTTGAAAATGTTAATTACTCCAAGCTTAAACCCGGACTTCTTACCAAGGTTGTCACTCATGTAAAATATTTTATGAAATACAAAGGTTAGTATTATGTGTGTTGAGGATGTACTTATAATCTTCTAGCTGCAGGAAGGAGGGCTCTAGTTCTTGGCCCCACCTTCTAACTTTCAACCAATTGACATGAAATATACCTCTCGTGTGTATTTCAGAATTGCTGTATTGAGTCTGTATCCATTGTGTTGATTTCAGTTTATTCCATTTATTGACAAAATATTTTCTGATATCCTTTGGGCATATAATTTCCCAATGTCTCCTTGTAGGATTGTTTTATGTGTACAGTGATTTCTGCAGTAACTAAGATGTTTATAATTTTAGCTTGATTTTGAGGATAGTAAAAAAAAGTAACTAGAGAGTGAAAATGAATGTCTTATGTAGCTTTAGTTATTTAGGGTTTTAACTGATTACATAAGTATTATATAGAGAATGTACTAAATTTATGAGTCTTGGAGAGTGAAAATAATTATTGTTCAACCTCTTTTTAGAGGCTGTGGTTCGTGCAAATGCTTTCTCAGTAATGGTGAGTGTACTGATGATCAAACCACAAGTAGCAGAACTGAGAGACTTACTCATGCGCTACCAGATTCCTGCTCCTCCAATTCTCACTTTGCCACCACAAGTTATGCCACCCCAGTTTATGGAAGAAGAACTACCAGAAGAGGAAGATGAGGCTGAGGCACAATTGAAAGAGCAAATGGAGAGAATGAATATGGTAATGAATAATTACTCTTTTATTTATGAGTCCTGGAAATGGGAAGTACAATGCCTGCACTTTAAAGGAGGGGTTTGGGATATTGGCACTTTGGAAGGATGTTGTGTATCTTTATACGTATATGCTTCTAAACTGTTGTATTCTGAGCACCTCTGCAAAAACAGTGATTATGTGTGAGTGAGGTGAAAGTGTTGAATGATGAAAGTATTTTCATTTTGGGGATTTTCTTTCTTTTTGGGTCACCCTGCCTCGGTGGGAGACGGCCGACTTGTTAAAAAAAAAAAATTATGGAAAACAACTGTGTGTGTCTTAACCCTTTAACTATGCAGAAAACCATAACAGTTTTACTGTGGGTAGATTTTAGTAAAATTAGAGCTTTTATAACATCATTTAGGAGTGAGGAAGAGCCACAAGGGAGACTAGTGGAATTATGTGAGTCAGTGAGTAAATTGAAAGAGGGTAAAGCAACTTGGATGGATAGAATTGATACATGAATGATAAAAGCAGGTGGGAATATAGTTTTGGAATGGTTAGTACCTTTGCTCAACAAATATATGAAAGAGGGGAAGATACCTAGGGATTGGCAGAGAGCATGCATAGTTCCTTAGTATAAAGGAAAGGGGAGCAAAAGAGAGTATAAAAAGTTATAGGGAATAAGCCTGTTGAGTATACCAGGTAATGTGTATGGTAGAGTTATTATTGAGAAAATTTTAAGGACAAGACAGGTAGATAGTTTTAGTTTAATATGTTTATTATGCACCCCATACCCATCCTGTGGGCAGTAGTCAAAAGATTACAGAGGTACATAATTGGTCCAGGGACTGGACCCCAAAGTTTTGATAGCTGAGCAAGTTACAGAGGTAATGAACTCATAATTTACAAAGGTAATGAACTCACAATTTACAAGACAGGTAGCAAGGAGATTGGACATCCAGCAGGCATGTGTGAGCATATCAGATAGGAGTGAATGAAGGCAGAAGGTTTTTGGGACTTGAGTCCCAAATGTGAGCAAAGTAACACATTTGTGAGGGGATTCAGGGAAACCGGTTAGCCGGACTTGAGTCCTGGAGGTGAGAGGTACAGTGCCTGCACTCTAAAGGAGGGGTGGGGATATTTACGGTTTGGATGGGCATCTGAATTGTAGTATTAGCATGCCTCTGGCAAAACAGTGATATAGTAAATGATGGTGAGAGTGTTTTCTTTTTTCAGGTCACCCTATCTTGGTGGGAATGTGAATACAATATTTATGAAAAGGTTATGGAGTTTATGGAGGCTGGAGCAAACTAGGATGACACAGAGTATATATTAATCTTGAGTGGGGGTAGGGGGTCATCCTAGGAATGGTTGGAGGGGGGTCAAAGTAGCTTTTGAGTGTCAGGGATTTTGATATGTAACAAGTTTGTGTGAGTGCATTAGCTTTGAGCAAATGAAGGCAAGTTGTTTTTATGATTTGGCATGATGTTGTAGTATGAGGAAGGTGACATTTATGAAGGAATTCATGGAAATCACTTAGCTGGACTTAATCTTGGAAGTGAGAGGTACAGTGCTTGAAGGAGTCTTGGAAGTGAGAAGTACAGTGCTTGAAGGAGTCTTGGAAGTGAGAAGTACAGTGCTTGAAGGAGTCTTGGAAGTGAGAAGTACAGTACTTGAAGGAGTCTTGGAAGTGAGAAGTACAGTGCTGGAAGGAAAAAGAGTGGGAATTTTCCAGTTTGGAGGGCCATCTGAACTGTAGCATCAACACATTTTTGGCAAGACATTGGTTAAATGAATGATGGTGACTGTGTGTGTATTTATTTCTTCAGGTCTCCCCCTGCATTGGTGGGAGATGGCTGTTGAGTTAAAAAAAAATTAGTTAATATTCCTATATGTATTTTGTATTTCAGTTGAGCGAAGATGAAGAAGAAAAAACAGAGAATAACATGCATGGCAAGTCAGTTGTGTCATGGTTAATGCAGCGTTGTGTTGACTCATTGCTAACACCAGACCATGATGCTGTGCGTGGCATCTACATTCAGGTGAGTAGTGCTGTTGTTGCATTAAGGCATGTTAGAGGCTTTTTAATAAATTCCTGTGAAGGCTTACTCAGCCCTGTAACACCTTCAGACAGTATTACCAAGGCTGGCTCCTCCTCAGGAAAATAAATGAATAGAAAAAGAAATAATTCACAAAGATAAACACCCTGCCTCGGTGGGAGACGGCCGACTTGTTGAAAAAAAAAAAAAAAAAAAAAAAAAACACTTTATTATTTAGTAATGCAAAGTTAAAACATTGAAACATGAAGGTGTGTCCTACTTTAAAGAAAAATGAAAAATGAAATGGAAAAATGACATTTGAATTCAACGCTAACATATACAGTTATACTGGGGTGTCTGGTTGAGGTTGTCTTGTAGAAATTGTAGCCGTTGCTGATGATGTGGGGGGGGGGGGTCACAGGTGTTTAGTGACAACCCAACGACTAGTTCTTCACAGAGTCTATAGCCTTGAATAGTCAGTCCAGATGACAGGAATGCAGGTTCTTTACCACTGCAAAGATGAGGGGTAGTGTCCTGTGCAATTAATCAGGTAGGTAGATCCTAAAGTGATGTCTCAAGACCGGTTTCAGTCCGTCTCCTTCAACACTTCTCGTTGGTTGGCAGGTGACCCGAGCTGTCATTCCAAGCTGGAAAGAGAGACAGGTTACCCACTGCTTAAGAAATCACTTTCCATGATAAGTGTAAGATACTTAAAAAAGGTGGTGATTATCTAAAAGTCTCATGTGGAGCTTAACCCTTTGACTGTCGCAACCCCCAATCCTGAGGTGTCTCCTGGTGTCGCAAAATTTAAAAAAAAAAATTATTTTTTCTTATGAAATGTTAGAGAATCTTTTCCCGATTGTAATGACACCAAAAAAACGAAATTTGATGGAAAACTGACGGAATTATGTTCTCGCGAAGTTAGCGACCTCGGCGCTGTTTACAAATCGGCGATTTCGCCCACTTTGAGCCCTATTTTCGGCTAATTCCATTGTTCCAGTCGCCCAAACTCATAGCTATTTCTTTAGAACTTCATTTTTTCTATCGATTGAATACAAGAAACTGCCCATTTACTGATTTCAACTACCTAATAATGTGGTCAGAAATTTGCAATTTGGCTAATTTCACGAAAACTAAAATATATGACAATTTCAAAATAAGGTCCAGAATGAACAATGCAGACATTCCTGGCTCTAAAATAACATTTTCTTTGTTCATCAGTCACATCTCCAGGCCCTTCTGATATTACTCTTGCTTTCTATTTTGAATTTTTATTCAAACAAAAAATATTAGACTTACTATTATGCAGACTACTGCAATGCTGTAATAACTGTATAAATAACATCAACCCATTCATGACTGCATATTAGAATGGCTAGTTGGACATTTATTGGATAATGGCATCATTTGTTTACTTTTGAACATTGGCAAAAATCAAACATTTCCCCTACTTTGAGCTCTATTTCTAGGTTCTTTTTATAGTAAAATCAATGAAAATCACCTCTATTCCTGTAAAATGTTTTCCATTCTGTCAAATGAGACCAAGAAAACGAGAATACAACCATAAATACTATACGAAAATAGACCACAAATTCGGCATTTTAATTAAAAAAAACAGTCAGAGTTTTTTTTTTCTCATTATGCACTGCGTGCTCCAGGATTTTTTTTATATGGTGCACACTGACCACACAGACCCATTCTCTCACATGTGGGCCTACCAGCTTTCTCCTGCTTGATTTGAAGCCGCTAGAATTTATGAGTATATATACGTCAAACACGGCACCTCGTAAAACGTATATATACGGCCGAGACAGTCAAAGGGTTAAAACTGAAAGGACTAAGTTTATTATTGGTCAAAAGTGAAACCTTCAACCAATATCCACTAAAATAGGGGCAGAGGCTTTTACTTACAGTTGTGCTGGAAGCTGTGAGTCGAGTGATTACTGTTTGGCCGGAGCCCCACACGTCACCTTTCGGGGTGGGGAGAAAGGGGGGGGGGAATAGCGGGAGCTAAACTGACCCTACCTTAACAAGCAGCTGGCAATCAAACTATCATTACCATATACTCGCTCGCTACTCTTATCTGTTGAACTTTTCCCTCACAATTCCACTAGATTATTTTGGCATATGCAAAGATCAGTGATTATTAAAGCTCACTGCACAGTAATGATTTGTTATATTTGTAAATACCTACACATGGCCATAGATTTTTTTTTTTTAACAAGTCGGCTGTCTCCCACTGAGGCAGGGTGACCCAAAAAGAAAGAAAATCCCCAAAAAGAAAATACTTTCATCATCATTCAACTCTTTCACCTCACTCACACATAATCACTGTTTTTGCAGAGGTGCTGAGAACACAACAGCTTAGAAGCATATACGTATAAAGATACACAACATATCCCTCTAAACTGCCAATATCCCGAACCCCTCCTTTAGAGTGCAGGCATTGTACTTCCCATTTTCAGGACTCAAGTCCGGCTATATAAAAATAACCGGTTTCCCTGAATCCCTTCACTAAATATTACCCTGCTCACACTCCAACAGATCGTCAGTTCCCAAATACCATTCGTCTCCATTCACTCCTATCGAACACGCTCACGTACGTCTGCTGGAAGTCCAAGTCCTTCGCCCACAAAACCTCCCTTACCCCTTCCTTCCAACCTTTTCGAGGACGACCCCTACCCCGCCTTCCTTCCCCTACAGATTTAGATACTCTCCATGTCATTCTACTTTGATCCATTCTTTCTAAATGACCAAACCTCCTCAACAACCTCTCTTCAGCCCTCTGACTAATACTTTTATTAACTCCACACCTTTTCCTAATTTCCACACTCCGAATTTTCTGCATAATATTTACACCACACATTGCCCTTAGACAGGACATCTCCACTGCCTCCAACCGCCTCCTCGCTGCTGCATTCACAACCCAAGCTTCACACCCATATAAGAGTGTTGGTACTACTATACTTTCATACATTCCCTTCTTTGCCTCCATAGATAATGTTTTTTGTCTCCACATATACCTCAATGCACCACTCACCTTTTTTCCCTCATCAGTTCTATGATTAACCTCATCCTTCATAAATCCATCTGCCGACACGTCAACTCCCAAGTATCTGAAAACATTCACTTCTTCCATACTCCTCCTCCCCAATTTGATATCCAATTTTTCTTTATCTAAATCATTTGATACCCTCATCACCTTACTCTTTTCTGTGTTCACTTTCAACTTTCTACCCTTACACACACACCCAAATTCGTCCTCTTTAGAATCTTCCATAAGCACAGTATCATCAGCAAAAAGCAACTGTGTCAATTCCCATTCCTAGGATGACCCCTGCCCTTCCTACGTTGCCCCCCCCCCCAAATTATAAAACCTCTTTGTCAGCTTATCCCTCCCATCCTCTCTACATGCCCTAACCACTTCAACAACTTCTCCTCATCCCTGTGAATTACTAATTTACCTCCATCGGAATTCTACCCCTATTCTATTAAATTCATCCCACTTGGGTAAATGGTCCGACTTGGACCATTTACAAAATGGTCCAAGTCGGACCGAAAAGTCGTCGTAAGCTTCTCTCTTTTATGTGCGGGTTATTTGTGTATCGTTCCAGTCACGGTATTGTGCCTTTTTTGTTATCCCATTTTGTATTTGATTCCCCATAATTTAATCCCACCCCTCTCCCGAACACCCTAGCATTTACTTCTTCTACAACCCCATCTATAAATATATTAAACAACCATGGTGACATTACACATCCCTGTCTAAGACCTACTTTTATCAGGAAGTAGATATAAATAATTATTTTAAGCTTCATGATAGAAATAATTATGTGAGTCTTGCACCCAAGTGGGATGAATTTAATAGAATAGGGGTAGAATTCCGATGGAGGTAAATTAGTAATTCACAGGGATGAGGAGAAGTTGTTGAAGTGGTTAGGGCATGCAGAGAGGATGGGAGGGGTAAGCTGACAAAGAGGTTTTATAATTTGGGGGGGGCAATGTAGGAAGGGTAGGGGTCATCCTAGGAATGGTTGGAAAGAGAAGGTAAAAGAGGCTTTCAGCATTCAGTGGGTTTGTACGAGCATTTTAGATAAAAGTTAATGGAGACACTTGTTTTTTATTGGACATGCTGTTGGAATGTGAGCAAGGTAACATTAATGAATAGATTCAGGGAAACTGGTTTCCTAGAATTGAATCCTGGATGTGAAAAGAGCAGTGCAAAATGAAGGAGGGGTGGGGATGTTGCAGTCAAAGGGCAGTCTGAATTGTGATGACAGCACACTTCTTGTAAGACAAAGATTAAAGGAATGATGGGGAATCAGTTTTCTTTGGGTCACCCAGGAAGTGACCAGCAAGATAAAAAACAATGTAGAGATGAGTGTTAAGCAGAATTTTTTGTTTTGGTTATAATATATTTACAGAGTTCTTAAAGTTAAATAACGAATAGATTACTTAACTGATCGGAGTAAGTGAAGTTTTAAGGATCTTATGAATGGTGATGCATGCGCATTTTTGGAAAAACAGATATTAAGTGAGCCAAGGTGAATGTTTTAGGTCTACCTTGGCAGAAAGCTGCCAGTTTAGTTTAAAAAAATTCAGGTAGACAGAAAAGGATTTTAATGTATGGCCACAGAGCTCCCCCTTTCTGTTTTTTGAGTGTATGTTACCCCACAGGTTCAGCTGCAGTCACTGAAGGTATTAAGTGCCCTAGTGAGCGAGCATCTGAGCATTATTCAGCATAACCTGCCTCTCATTCAACATGTGATCAGTGTGTGTAGTGAAGCTGTGAGGGAGCTGCCTCATCCAAGAGTTTCACAGATAATGTCAGACTCTCACAAGAAGTTTGAGGTTGGAGAAGGTTTTGACCCAGCATTAATGTCTCCTGATCCTGGTATAAATCCTTCTGGGGTATTATTTTCAGCCTTTTTTAACATTTACTTCCCGGATAATCACATTGCATGCTTCTTCACTTTATGAACAGTGCTTTATCTTTCTAAACATTTTTGGTTTGAAACACTAGGTTCAGTTTATATTATACTTTGGTGTGTACTTTTGAGCATCTTAGAATAAAATAAGACACTTTTCATAGTATGTAAATTTTATATATATATATAAAACACTATTTTGCTTGATTTACAAGTTTTTATTTTTCAAGTTAGTGATTGGCTTGAGAAAGCATGTAACTCAGGCAAAAACATGTTGCTATACTAAATTAAAGTGTCTTATTACAGTTCAACCTGTTGATATTCATACAGTTTCATTGATCTTTTGTGCATCTTTATATCATGTCATCATCATTACATAAACTCAAAGACTTGTGAACTTTTTATAAATGTATCATCAGCCTTTCATGTTTTATACTCAGTAATGTAGTCTCATTAATTATTAAAAAAAAAGCTCAGTTTTGCTTAATACTGGGGTGATCATAGCATTGAAGTTGTTTTCATGTATTTGCTAAAAATAAGATAATAGAGAAAAATTAGGAGGGATAAGTAGAATTAGAAATTAGAATACTTGAGCTCTTCATTGGCTGCTTTATACACTGAAGCACTCTCATCTCTTGATATAAGGCTCTTGATGTCATCCATTTCAAGTACAGCTCAGTTTTTTCAGCAGTGAAGACTTAAGTGAGGTGTGTGTAACTGCCATCTTCTGTAATCTTATTCAACACATCCTGATAGGAGGCAGCTGCCTTAATATTAACACTTGCTGCCTCATCACTCAGTGTAATACTATTGAAGTTGTTATGCCTCTTAAACCTTTCACACCATCCTGAACTTACTAACACTGAAATTCAATATTTCTGTCATTCATTTTTCTTATACTGTGCTGTCAAAACTGCCAAGTTTGTGAGGCTAGGTTCCTAGAAGTTCTCATGATTTCAGAATCTGTGAAGACTGCTAATTTTTTTTATTAACACATTGGCCATTTCCTCACCGACGCAGGGTGACCCGAAAAAAAAGAAACTTTCATCATCATTCATTCCATCACTTTCTTGCAAGAAGTGTGCCTACACTACAGGTCAAAAGCTGCAACAGCATGTCTCCAGGCCGTCAATTTTGTGCGAATGTGTTTTAGATATGTAAACCGCTTTACAGCTGCATATTCAAAAATATTCCTAATGTATGTTGTGGATGAATGTTTTAGCATTTCTCCATCCATATATGTGAATGCTATTTTAAAGTTTTCCAGTATTGCATATGATTTTTACTCAATTGTAGGTTGGTTGGAGAAGTGTCACAGTATTATCTTTATCATGCAGAACCAATTACTCATACTGAAGGTCTAATTTTGTTTGAGCTTGGCATCCTGCGAAGCTGTGAGAAGCATGTGTGTATGACCAAATCCTCATTCTGCAGGTGTGGTGGTGGAACATGCATACACTCTACTGGGATCACTACTTGGAGCAGTCAAAGCTGATCTGGATAAAGGAAATGAGGCCTGTACCTCAGTCTCTCAGGTCCAGCAACTGTGGTTTTGGGCACTGCAGGTTACTATACTATTGCTATTTTTCTTACTGTTAAATAATTAGTTTTAAGTATTTGTTATTATAGTAGCTATAATGTTTAGTATGTTAAGTATAGTTCACGTAGGAAAAAAAAATTGAGTAGTGTAATTGCCAATTTTTTTCCCCACAGATATTATCATTGATTTAAAGCTTTTTTTCCCTCAAAATCTTGTTTTATTAAAAGTGTTCCTCTCTTGCCAAGGGTCCCCTGCAAATATTGTTTAAGCAGTCCACAGGAGAGCAGTCTGGCATCAGTGTAGAGAATATGTCTTCAGCAGGTGAGAAAAAAATCAGTAGTATTCTGGATTGTGTACTTGTTAATGGTTCCAGGCATTATCTTCTTTGCAGCATGGTCTCACTTTAGACCTCTTGATTGATGGTCTGGTCAGCAAGGGGATTGGAACTTGCAGTACATAGTCTGTTGTGGGGTGCATAGACATGGGTCTGCTGATAATTTCCCTTATATTTAAGGGGTGGGTATAGAAATGCTTTGGACCCTTATGTATGATCCAGTGATGAAAACTCAAATTTACTTCATCTTTTTATTTATTAATTACAGGTTATAATTTAGCCCCACACTCATGGCACTTTAGTTTCTGTCATAAGGCATTTCAAAGTTAAAAACAGTATGCATTCACAAATTAATGCTTAATTTCATATTTTCCAGGAGAGCCTCTACAGCACAATGCAGCAAACTGGAGAACCCAAGAGAGTGTTGGAGCCCTGGAGCATGAGGAACACTTAAAACAGATGGTGGCTGTTGCTACCGTTCTCACACACTTGAGTCCTTCTGTGAGTTATGGGATAGGAACTGTTAGTGGATTAATATGATTTAGTTTACACCATATCTGTTGTAATGTCTGCAGTCTTCATCAGTCAAGAATAATTTGTTTGTTTTTGGCATGACAATGACTGATAGCTTCTCTTACAGTATGGTTTCTTCCATAACATGATTACCATAGTATGGCAGGTTTCAGAGATGTATTGTGTCTACAGTACTCTGCTGTACAAGACTTTACTGTATTTTAGAAATGAATACTTTACAGCACTTATTCCAAATACACTGTTCGTCAACATCTTTTCTTAAAATCAGTCTTAGTGCCTATATTAACTAAGTGCTTCACTGTCTAGTGTTCGTCTCTGTACTTCCATTTTATTCATGTAGTTTAATGACTGTAATTGCTTAATGCTTCATCCCCATATCTTTGTTGTATAGCCTAGGTCGCTTGGATCTAAACTTTTCTTTTCTTTTCACCAGATCTTTGAAAGTCTTGGGGAGGAATGGATCACCTGCATTATTACAACAGTCAGGTGGCTGGTTACCTATTCTCATCCTGACCTTCGTTTGGCTGGCATACGCATCATGGCCATTATTGTTGGTTTTTCTGGTGTAGTTGGGAATCCTGGAGCTGTCTCTCTCCTACAGGCAACAGTTGTGACAACTTGTGATCTACTGGCTCAGAGAGAGAACAATGTGAATAGAGATCGTCTCCTTGCTTCATGGGCACTGGCAAATATATCTTCTGTGTTTGAATTCTATGTGTAAGTATTATTTTGAAGGTTGTTTGCAGTGGTCTTCCAAGGAATTGGAACTACCCTACCCTCCTTCAGATAACTCCTGATTACCACCATTTTCCTGGTGTTGTATGACCTATGAATATAATAATAATAATAATTTTTTATATTTTATTTTTTATATTTTTTTAAATCAGTGAATTGACATTTGGAAGCATGTGTTCTCCTCTGTGTACATTTTTTTTTTTTTTTTCAACAAGTCGGCCATCTCCCACCGAGGCAGGGTGACCCAAAAAAGAAAGAAAATCCCCAAAAAGAAAATACTTTCATCATCATTCAACACTTTCACCACACTCACACATTATCACTGTTTTTGCAGAGGTGCTCAGAACACAACAGTTTAGAAGCATACACATATAAAGATACACAACATATCCCTCCAAACTGCCAATATCGTACATACCTGCTGTAAAAATAATTGAAATATTGCCAAACATGTAAAGCAACCTTGCATGTAATATTTTAAAGTGATGTATAATATCAGTCAGAGATACTGCACTTTCAGAAGCTTTACTTTATCATGACCATACATGAATTCAAAATAAGTTGTAATAAACAACTGTCAATGGATAAACAGAAGGGTGGACAGGGGGCACAAACCATGGCCCATAAATTGACAGTCTGATGTTCTACCCAGGCTTCTAACAGGAAGGATTCAGAGGTAATACTGTATTACATTCCATCAGAGGCACTAACTTTAACCCAACTGAACTCTTTCCCTTGACCCAGGAGCTTTCAACCCTTTCAGGGTCCATGTGATAGTTCTATGGCTTTGAGTTGAGGGTCCAAACCGTAGATCTGTGCTGTGAGCTCAGCTCAGTCTGATAAGCTGTGAGCGAAAAATTTTGGCCTAATATGAGAGAATACATCTATGTGGTATGTGTGCACCACATAAAACAAATCCTGCAGCACATAGTGCATAATGAGAGAAAAAACCTGAGACCGTATTTTTTATTAAAACAGTGACTTTGCAGTGTTTTTTTGTGTTTTTTATGGTTGTATTTGTGATTTCTTGGTCTCATTTGATAGAATGGAAGATATATTACATAAATAGAAATGATTTTGATTGGTTTTAGTATTGGAAATGGCTTGAAGCTGAACTCAAAGTAGCGGAAATGTTAAATTTTTGCTTATGTTCAAGAGTAAACAAATGACCTCACACATCTAATACACGCCAGCTGGTGGGTCTAATATACGTTCACAAATGTGGTGATATTATTTATACAATTATTACAGTATTGCATAACAGTAAATCTTCTGTTTTTTGGCTTGAATAAACATTCATTATGTGAATAAAAAATCAAAATGGAATTCATTTGTAAAGCCTGAAAACATAACTGATGAACAGAGGAAATGTTAGTTTAGTGCCAGGAATGCCTGCACTGTTTATTCTGGACCCTATTTTGAAATTGGAATATTCTGAACTTTGTGTTAAATTGGCCAAATTACCAATTTCCGATCACTTTCTTTTGTAGTTGAAACATTTAACTTGGCAATTTCTTGTGCTCAGTCGATAGAATAAAAGTAATACTAGTGAAATAGCTAAGAATTTGGTTGACTGGAATAATGCAATTGGCCTAAAATGGGAGTCAATATTGGCAAAATCGCCGATGCGTAAATATCGATGACACATCAAAATTCGCGTGAGCATAATTTCGTCAGTTTTCCATCAAATTTCGTACTTTTTGTTTTATTACCTTCAGAAAAAGTCTCTACCATTTCATAAGAAAAATAACAAAAATTTTTTTTTAAATTCTTGGACCGTGGTGCACACTCTGAAATTTGGCTTCTGGACCCTGAAAGGGTTAACAGTAGAAGAACAAAAAGGCACAAATAACCCACACATAGGAGAGAGGGGCTTACAACAGTGTTTTAGTCAGACTTGGACATCACAAAGTCACACTAACAGTAGGTCTGTTCTTTATCCATTGACAGTTGTTTATTACAACTTAATTTGAGTTCACAGATGATGTGGTATTGAGGGGGTAAAAACAGATCTACTGTTAGGGCTCCTGGGCTGAGGGGAGGAGTTCAGTTGGGATATAGTTGGTGCCTGTGATGGAATGTAATACAGTAAATATTGCATGCCTCTGATGAATCCTTTCTGTTACAGGCCTGAGTTGTCAAGACGGTAGAGTGCTGGATTGCTCTTTTGTGGGCTGCGGTTCATGACCTCACCAACCCCCAACCCCACCCCTACCCCTGTCCACCCTTCTGTTTATCCATTGACCACATATATATGTGTGACCAAATGACTTAAGCTCAGTTTTTTTTTTTTTAGCTGGAAGGTATTATTATTTCCCATGTCTTGTACAAGCAAGCCATCTTGTAGTTTTTAGTATTTGAAAACCTTTCTAAGAACTTTTTTGTAATTTCTTGCTCATTTCCTACCAAGATCATGTCCAAAAGCAAGAAACATTAAATTTCATCTGTATACAGTATATTTGTTAACTACAGGTAATTTGTTAACTAACTGCTTGCCCCTGGCATTTTATTAGTTTGTGTGACATTCCCCAACTTATGAGAATGATTCTAACCCACTTTTCACTCAGTGCTTTTGGGGTTATGAAAACATAAAGGTAGCAAACTAAAGTCCAATAGCTGCAGTTTTCATTGTAATTTAAACAGCTGTTTAAATTTTATTTAATCCTGTGTTTCCCTTAGAAAAGCAGACATAATCACTTTTATCTTTCAGTGATAATTGGAGTCATCAGTACAGTTCAAACAGTGAAATTCTGCCACCAACACTTACTGCTCGACTTTTGGAGGTGGGAATACGTGCATGCAAGGACAAGGACAAGATTAAACCACATGGAGTGCGGTGTGTGGGAAACGTGACAAGCTTCTTGCATGCACAACAAGTAGCTGATTCAACTTTAGCCCCACTAGTATCAAAAGCAATAGACACACTTGTACTCTGCTCCAGCACTGGAAGTAATATGAAGACACGATGGAATGCTTGTCATGCCCTTGGAAATATCCTCAGCAGTGGCCAATTACCCATTGCCAGTATGCCTTGGAAGGTATAATGCATAATTAATAACTGTGAAGTTTTAAAATAATGTAATGGATTCATATATATACAGCCTCTCCTCACTTAATGACAGAGCTCTGTTTCTAAGACCACGTTGGTAAATGAATTTGTCGCTAAGTGAGGAGCATTCTATAATGGTAGTGGGTTTTTGTCAGCCATCTTTGATAATGTTTTAATGTAACCTTTGCACCACTTATAACAGTCATAGTAGTTTTTTAAATGTTTATACAGTAGTGTACTGTATATTCTAATAAAAAGAATATAGGAAGCCAGCTCTAACATATATTATTTAGGAATGCATACTGGTCAGAGAGCCTGTTGTAAGTCCGAGTCATCGGTAAACAAGTACTACATCGCTCAGTGAGAAGAGGCTGTACTGTACATCTATATAGTAAACATGCAAGATTTCAGGTACATCTTGCTACTTGTACTTACAGTTAGGTCATAATACACATCCATGTACAAGCATATATATACACCTACCATCCGACTTACGACCGAGTTCGGTTCTGAGAAACTGGTCGTAAGTCGAAATGGACATAAGTCGAACTTTACTACTGAATATCAACGTCACATTTTTGTAATGACTTTATTTTATTGTTTTATTTTGGTATTTCATGTTTTACTTTACTTTTTTTGCTGTTAGTACTGTATTTTATACTGTAAGGTTTAGGATAAACACTGTGTACAACACAAATAGTTGTTTATTTCCCAGAAATTTGGCAATAAAAACACGGTCGTAAGTTGAGTGGTCGTAAGTCGAGCAGGTCGTAAGTCGGATGGTAGGTGTATATATATATTTTTTTTTTCAACAAACCGGCTGTATCTCACCGAGGTTGGGTGGCCCAAAAAGAAAAACAAAAGTTTCTCTTTTTAAATTTAGTAATCTATATAGGAAAAGGGGTTACTAGCCCCTTGCTCCCAGCATTTTAGTCGCCTCTTACAACATGCATGGCTTACAGAGGAAGAATTCTGTTCCACTTACCCATGAAGATAAGAGGAAATAAGCAAAGAGTAAGAACTTATGGGAGATTCTAAAGAAAAGTTGCAAAGGAATGGACGAGTTTGGGAGTGTGTGTAAAGGTAGAAAGTTGAAAGTGAGCATAGAAAAGAGTTAGGTGATGAGGGTATCACATGATTTAGATAAAGAAAAATTGGATATCAAATTGGAGAGGAGTATGGAAGAAGTAAATGTTTTCAGATATTTGGGAGTTGATGTGTCAGCGGATGGATGTATGAAGGATGAGGTTAACCATAGAACTGATGAAGGAAAAAAGTTGAGTGATGCATTGAGGTATATGTGGAGACAAAAAACATTTTCTATGGAGGCAAAGAAGGGAATGTATGAAAGTATAGTGGTACCAAGACTCAATATATGGGTGTGAAGTTTGGGTTGTAAATGCTGCAGTGAGGAGGCGGTTGGAGATATCCTGTCTAAGGGCAATGTGTGGTGTAAATATTATGCAGAAAATTCGGAATGTGGAAATTAGGAGAAGGTGTGGAGTTAAAAGTATTAGTCAGAGGGCTGGTGAGGGGTTGTTGAGGTGGTTTGGTCATTTAGAGAGAATGGATCAAAGTAGAATGACATGGAGAGCGTATAAATCTGTAGGGGAAGGAAGGCGGGGTAGGGGGTCATCCTCGTAAACATTGGAGGGAGGGGGCTTGAGCGTGTTAGTGTCGTGGGGTTCGAAAGGAGATAACGAGGGTTGAAGATATACACACTTGTTGGATGGTAACAATATATTGTAGAATGTGAGAAAGGGGAGCCCAACCTGCCGTGTGTTGCCTGGTAGACCTATGCGTGGACTGAGAGCGAGGTAGCGCATCCCACGCACTCATGCTGCAAACCGTGACGTCATACAAACAGTCACTAGGCCCCAGCAAAGGGGTTGCGTATGAAAAACATATGGATGGTACTATGATACACAGATAAGCTATAAAACACATGTAGGGGATCAGCAACTATGCTGACATTAGGAGTGAATGGAGACGAATGGTATTTGGGACCTGACGAGCTGTTGGAGTGTGAGCAGGGTAATATTTAGCGGAGGGATTCGGGAAACCGGTTATTTTTATATAGCCGGACTTCAGTACTGGAAATGGGAAGTACATTGCCTGCACTTTAAAGGAAGGGTTTTGGGATAATGGCAGTTTGGAGGGATATGTTGAGTGTCTTTATACATATATACTTCTAAACTGTTGTATTCTGGGCACATCTGCAAAAACAGTGATTATGTATGAGTGAGGTGAAAGTGTTGAATGATGAAAGTATTTTGTTTTTTGGGGATTTTCTTTCTTTTTGGATCACCCTGCCTCGGTGGGAGATGGCCAACATGATAAAAAAAATAATACTTTATATACACACCCGTCTGGGTTTTCTTCTATTTTATTACTAGTTCTTGTTTATTTCCTCTTTTCTTCATGGGGGAAGTGCACCATAAACCAGGTGTGTCGTAAGAGGTGACTAACATGTTGGGAGCAAAGGGCTAGTAACCCCTTCTCCTGTGGGATACGACCAGTGCGTTGAAAGAAGAAGACATATATATAGTGTATTGGAGGTAGTAGGTTGGTGGACAGCAATCATCCAGGGAGGTACTACTGTCCTGCCATGCTAGTGTGAAATGGAATCCTGTAATTGTTGTACATGATGGTAGGATTGCTGGTGTCCTTTTTTCTGTCTCATGAACATGCAAGATTTTGGGTACGTCTTGCTACTTCTACTTACACTTAGGTCACACTACACATACATGTTTTTTTTTTTTTTCAACAACTCGGCCATCTCCCACCGAGGCAGGGTGACCCAAAAAAGAAAGAAAATCCCCAAAAAGAAAATACTTTCATCATCATTCAACACTTTCACCACACTTACACATTATCACTGTTTTTGCAGAGGTGCTCAGAATACAACAGTTTAGAAGCATATACGTATAAAGATACACAACATATCCCTCCAAACTGCCAATATCCCAAACCCCTCCTTTAAAGTGCAGGCATTGTACTTCCCATTTCCAGGACTCAAGTCCGACTATATGAAAATAACCGGTTTCCCTGAATCCCTCACTAAATATTACCCTGCTCTCACTCCAACAGATCGTCAGGTCCCAAGTACCATTCGTCTCCATTCACTCCTATCTAACACGCTCACGCACGCTTGCTGGAAGTCCAACCCCCTCGCCCACAAAACCTCCTTTACCCCCTCTCTCCAACCCTTTCGAGGACGACCCCTACCCCACCTTCCTTCCCCTATAGATTTATATGCTTTCCATGTCATTCTACTTTGATCCATTCTCTCTAAATGACCAAACCACCTCAACAACCCCTCTTCTGCCCTCTGACTAATACTTTTATTAACTCCACACCTTTTCCTAATTTCCACCCCTCCGAATTTTCTGCATAATATTTACACCGCACATTGCCCTTAGACAGGACATCTCCACTGCCTCCAACCATCTCCTCGCTGCTGCATTTACCACCCAAGCTTCACATCCATATAAGAGTGTTGGTAACTACTATACTTTCATACATTCCCTTCTTTGCCTCCATAGATAACGTTTTTGACTCCACATATACCTCAACGCACCACTCACCTTTTTTCCCTCATCAATTCTATGATTAACCTCATCCTTCATAAATCCATCCGCCGACACGTCAACTCCCAAGGATCTGAAAACATTCACTTCTTCCATACTCCTCCTCCCCAATTTGATATCCAATTTTTCTTTATCTAAATCATTTGATACCTCATCACCTTACTCTTTCTATGTTCACTTTCCACTTTCTACCTTTACACACATTCCCAAACTCATCCACTAACCTTTGCAATTTTTCTTTAGAATCTCCCATAAGCACAGTATCATCAGCAAAAAGTAACTGTGTCACTTCCCACTTTGAATTTGATTCCCCATAATTTAATCCCACCCCTCTCCTGAACACCCTAGCATTTACTTCTTTTACAACCCCATCTATTAATATATTAAACAACCATGGTGACATTACACATCCCTGTCTAAGACCTACTTTTACTGGGAAGTAGTCTCCCTCTCTTCTACACACCCTAACCTGAGCCTCACTATCCTCATAAAAACTCTTTACAGTATTTAATAACATACCACCTATTCCATATACTTGCAACATCTGCCACATTGCTCCCCTATCCACTCTATCATATACCTTTTCTAAATCCATAAATGCAATAAAAACTTCCCTACCCTTATCTAAATACTGTTGACATATATGCTTCAATGTAAACACTTGATCTACACATCCCCTACCCACTCTGAAACCTCCTTGCTCATCCACAATCCTACATTCTGTCTTACCTCTAATTCTTTCAATTATAACCCTACCATACACTTTTCCTGGTATACTCAGTAAACTTATTCCTCTATAATTTTTACAGTCTCTTTTGTCCCCTTTCCCTTTATATAAAGGGACTATACATGCTCTCTGCCAATCCCTAGGTACCTTCCCCTCTTTCATACATTATTAACAAAAGTACCAACCACTCCAACACTATATCCCCCCTGCTTTTAACATTTCTGTCATGATCCCATCAGTTCCAACTGCTGCTTTAACCTCCTTTCACTTCTACGTAATGCCTCAGTACCTCCCCACACTTACAATTCTGCTCTTGTCACTCCTTAAAGATGGTATACCTCCCTGACCAGTGCATGAAATTACTGCCTCTGTTTCTTCCTTAACATTTAAAAGTTCCTCAAAATATTCTCGCCATCTACCTAATACCATCCATCTCCCCATCTACTAACTCCCCTACTCTGTTTTTAACTGACAATCCATACTTTCCCTAGCTTTCTTAACTTGTTAACTCACTCCAAAATTTTTCTTATTTTCATTAAAATTTCTTGACAGTGCCTCTCCCACTCTATCATCTGCTCTCCTTTTGCAACTCTCTCACCACTCTCTTTACCTTTCTTTTACTCCCATATACTCTGCTCTTCTTAACGCTTCTGCTTTGTAAAAACCTCTCAT